GAAAAGCTCTGGTGGGGTGTGAACAAATAGGAAAAGAGGAAAATAGCAGGGGTATAGGTGAAGTTTTTGATGCTCTTTTTTAGGATATCACTAGTTTCTAGATTTCAATTGGTTCTATTAAAGATTTTCCTTTAACTTTCCCCTTTAGAGCCAAAAAAAAAAAATCTGGAAAATACTTTATCCCCTATAAATTCAAGTCAAATCCCATAAGTTAGAAGCTTTATCTTGTTCTCCATATAAAAAGGTTGACATGTACTTCGATAGCATTAAATTAGGCAAATAAATCCCATTTAAAAAGAGCCGAGACACAGGTACGAGGCTACACTAACCAAAATCTAGTGAAGCTGACCAAGAATTTATAGCTTCCAAAATCTCTTACTCAAAGGGTATTAACAAAAAAGGAAAACCGAAATCATGAAACCCCCACAAAGGTGGGAAAATTGTGAAAAGTTCGAGCCATCACTCGTGGGGCCGTCGTGGCTGTGAGTGATTTGGGGAAGGACAGGCCAAAGGGGAGCAGGTGGCGGCGGCGGTGGAGAGGCTTCTGCTTTGAGTGAAGGATTAATGAACATATGTGGCGCTGCAGCAGGTGTGGGGACAACTACTCCTTGTCTTTGTTTTTTTTTTTTTTGTATTTTTTCCTGGCCGAGAATGGGAATGTGCCACTTTGCGGCCGCTAAAAGTGCACTTCGCTGTACTGCGATTTCGTCGGTATGCCAGCTGTTGTCAGTTGACAAGGGAAACGATTTGCCGGCGAGGAGGAGTACTTTCTAGGCCAACAACCACACGAAAAGGGAAATGGCTGTAGGATGTCGAGGTGGCAGTGGATGTGGCTGTGGAAGCGGAGATGGACAGATGGACTACTTTGTGAGGCATTCAACTGGAGTAAATGGGAAATATATCAGTGGGGAAGGAGTTTTGGCCAAATAAAAGTGGCCATAAGCTGGGGAAATTTGTTTCCTGCCGAGATTCCATTCGAAAAGTGCAAATATGTCAGCGAGACGGAGATGTGGGTAACATAAAAAATAGAGCGAGCTGTAGAAAGGTGATTCCTGCTAAGTGGAAAGTTTATTAGGGATTTAAAGGACTCAAAGTTGAAGCGGGGGAAGCTTTCTTGCAGGTCTCTAGAGGCATTACAGGTGTCTTTTATGGGTTTTTATTAATGGATGTCTTGTGGTCTTCTGTGTTTTATTTTAAGGACTAGGAAAATGTCTTAAAAATGTGTCTAAAGTTATGCTATTACTTGTTACAAAGTAGTTTGTATTTTCTACCCTTTTCTTTTTTTTATTGCATACTTTTAGACATATTTTAAAGCTATTTCAAACCTCTATAAATGTTTACAGCAAAGATAAATAAATAATATTTATTTAAAATTAAAACAATCTATACAAAATCAACTTAAAATCCGCTTTTCATTATAAAGATGATACCTTTCAACTTTAGCAAATCCCCACAAAAAGATAATAATAACTTCCAAAGCTCCCTCACTTCCAGATTAATATAAAAACAATCTCAAAAGATATATGTAGAGACAGAAAAGTATTCCTCGAATACGTAGTTGAAGTTGAAATAAAATATTCAAAAACTTGGCTAACAAAGCTGAAGCTGAAGCGCCGCGCGATAAGTCCCCTTTTCGTCGTCGATCTGCATATTTGTTCTGTCTGAGGCAGAATCCGCGGAATTTGAAATTCTAATTGCACTTCGTCTCTCTCTCTCTGTACTGCCTGCATTTTACTGATGGAACGTTTTCTTTCTTTATTCTCTCGCTTGCAGCTACTATCTGAATCACAATACGGCGCTGGTGAAGCTGCTCAAAAAGCTGGGGTCGCGGCCGATACCGCAGTGGCTCAAAGACGACCTGTCCACGGGCACGTGATAGCAACTCATCAGCGGCGGCGGAGCAGGACCAGGTGGTGGAGGTGGCTCTGGTGGCGGCATTAAGTATCGCAAATTGCGGGCAAAACTCAGGAAACAGTTGCGTTGGCTGCATCTGGCGGCCGAGAGCGCTGAAAAGGCTCAGTCACAACGTCGGCGAAGGCGTCACAACTGACAGGACGACGAAGTGGAAGTGGAAATATTTAACATGAGGAAAAAATGTACTCGTTGTTGTTCTGAGATCTTAGTTTGATGGATTTTGTGCAATCGGAATTGATGAGGCAGGAAAATTTAATGAACAAGATACGGTTTTTAGAGTTTATCTATGATTAAACAAGAATTTTGAGGGTCTAAGAGACTCAATCCATGTAAATATGTTTATTTGAAGTAAAAGAATGTTTTTTTGTCTTAAAGGATTTTTAAAATATTTTATTTACATTTAAATTCTCTTCCAAAATCGAATAATTTTTAAATCAAAACCTCAAGTATACGTGTTGATTAAATTACAAAACTAAGAAATTTGTATATTTCAAATCTGTAAAAATTTAAAAATAATGTTTTGCACGTTTTTGTATTTTAATGAGCTATTTTTTATAATTATTTTTAATTATGAATATTTATTTAAAAAACCTACCTATTTCCCTTACATTTCCCAAACGTATTAAACCACAAAAATCAATTTACTTTTTAAAATAAACCCTTAAAAATGTATAAATTAACAATAATGTAAAACCCTATCAATTCCGATTGCCCTTAATGAAATCAAATATTAAAATCAGAACGAAAACGAGCGAGTGCAGAGCAGCTATAGAAAAAAAAGGATAGATTAAGGAGGGTAAAAAATAACATAATTAGTCGCTTTAAAGTTTAAACATATATGCATAAATCTTTCGTTTTGTTGCTATTGCAGCTAATTAATGTCACTGCAGTTGTCACTGCAAGAGTTGTACAGTTAAGAGTGTGTGCGAGTGTTGTGTAAATAGCAGCGTGTGTGTGTGCCTGTGTTTTGCGCATTATAAATTATCATAAATAATATCATGAGGCATCATGAATAAATGCATAAATGCGCTTTGTTAGTTGTTTAATGTTCATCAGTTGCTAATGGCCAGTTGAGCGCCTAATTATCCATAATCCGGAGCACTTTCGTTATTACCTCAGACACACCGAATTCAGCCTACTCTCTAAGTCTAAGCTCCCTCTCTCTAAGTCCATGCCAAAACTGTGAGATCTTTTGTAGCCAGCAGCTAAGTTAACCAAGGCTAAGCATACATCTGTACTAACTACGTGTTAATATATCTGACTAGCGACTAAGCGTAGGGCTGCTCTCTAACCCTAAGTGTACCATAGATGTGTTTTAGCCTAAGTCCAGCGTTTGTGTAAAGCTCTAGTTGTAGTCCTAAGCGCAGCGCCTAAGCAAAGCTCTATTGTATAGTTGGATATATGCGTAACCCTACGGAGGACTAGTTCAAGTTTAGATTCGTAATGCGACAATAATAAAAGCGAAAAATTATTGCAAGTGTAAAGTGGTGTTGTGTTTATTTTTGGAAAGTTTAATATATATTAAATGGAATTTTTAGAGGGTGATAATTGTAGCAGAAAACCAATAGAGTAAGCCAAATTAAGGGGGTCTTCTCATTGGGCAGTTGTTTCCGCTGAAAACCTAAGAGATCGGAAAATCCCAGGAAAAAACGCGCTTTCGTGGCGTCTAGGCACACTCGATCGCGAAACCCTCAGATCGCCCGATCTGGCACTTTTGGTCGCAGGATCAGTTTTTTCAGTTTTTTTCTCCCAGTGTAAAGTAAGCAGTTTGCAAGCAGTTCAAACAAGCAGTTCGCAAGCAGTTCGGCCAAGCAGTTCAATGTGAACTCCAAAGTAGCGCCCCTGCCGGAATCCTGAATAGGTGGCGCCCAGTGGTAAGTAGCCAGTGTTGCCAGAAAGTAATCCCAGGTGTGACCGCTTAGCTATATTCGGGACAAAATAAAGCCAGATTTATCTGAAAACTAAACACATTTAAATTTTATTTTTAAAATTCTATTACATTTTTAAGATTAATTTTCTCTCATTCCGTAATTTTTTTCGTCATATAAATATTTTCCGTGGTTATCTAGAATCAATTCATATTTGAATATTTTCCTGATCACAGAAACATTTATATATCAGGTTACAAAAAAAAAAATATGATAAAAATATTTATTAAAAAAAATATATCGATACATTGTTTTTTCGATATATTTTTTATTTTCCAGCGATTTATTTTGAATATGTTCCGGACCACGGCAAGGATTTAAATAATAAATACAATAGTTTGCTTATAATAAAATTAATCGTTGATATCATTAATGCATTTATTACTAAAATTAACTACTTGCTTAAGCTCTTCCAAAGTAAAATAGCTAGATCTAGCCTTAAATAAGCTAAGCCGACAACACTGCCCCGAGAATAAACAGTTTCATTTTCCAGCGAGCGTACACGCGTCGGATGATTGATGCCGCAAAGGAAACTTGAAACTGGGAAAACTGCCGTGAAAACTGTGTTTACGTCGTGCTTACGGTCGTGTCGCGTCGGTTGTGTTATTGTTTTTTAATTTTTATTGAATATCAAAGCTCGATTTATTGATATTTAATAATTGGCGGCTATAAAGAAACACCGGTAAATATGTATGACGCGTTGTGGAAACCAGAGATAGCGAGCTAAAAATATATACTATATACTGGATATAGCACGTGCTAACAGGTTCCTCTCTTCATAATTAATAAAGAATAATAGTTGATAAAATAAAAACCTCGCGTGTTTCCCCAACCGGCTTAAATTAGCCAAGAGAGAGAATTAAAAAAGAGAGTGCAAAGAGAGTGAAAAGAAAAGGCCGCCTGCCTAATTTATGGTTGTCGAAAATTAAAGGCAGCCGCTATATCTTTCTATATAGTATTATAGTACATAAAATTCCGTGTGCTAACCGTGGTGCTTTTCCTCATGTGAAAATATATCAAGAAATAATATACATATATAAATAACAGAAGAAGAATCGCTGGGTAAAACCGGTAATTCTCTCTCTCCCCCATTCGTTTCGCCCTTCTACCTTTTCACTCCTTTTTTTTTGGCGCCCGTACTGCTCTCCGTTTTTGTTGTTGTTGCGCCTTGTTGCATTTTAATTCCTCTCGGCTCACAACTCACTTTTGTTTTAGCACTCAAAAAAATTAGTATAAACTAAAGTGATAAGCCAAACAAAATGTTTGGAGTAGAAGAGCAAATTCATAGTGGTCATTTTGCACGTTTAAAATTCCATTGACTGATAGATAAAGTTTGGCTATTGGACGGCATTTTGGCGATGCCTTGGATATTCGAGAAAATGATAAGGGGCACCGCTAAAAAGTTCCAAGTGAAAATTCCGGAAAAGCCAACTGCATTGTATACTTACATATATATGTACATATATATATATTTTTACTGTGAGTGTTTTAGCCACAGCCGAAGAGAAGAGGTGCAAGTTCCGTTTATTACTCATTATTTAGCTTTCCCACTCCAACAAATAATATAACCAGTGTTTTTGTGATTCACATCCGATCTTCTGTTACCCCGATTTGAAAAATAAATAGATAAAGAGTGTATTTCGCGGTGTAGTGTCCAGTTCAAGCAGCAGAAATCATGTCCAGAAACAAGGCCGCCATGGTTAGCGCCTTCCGGCTGCTCCTCCGCCCGTCGCCCGCCCATAGGAATATTGCTCTGCGCCTGGCCCCCGTCACGACCTTCGCCCTGGTAAGTACTAACGCCGCCTCCCCCAATGCAGTATCGATAGCCCCCGACAACTATATAAATACCAGAGGGCAGAAACTAGCCGGGGAAAAGCTGAGCTCCGGGGGAGCAGGCATGGGAATCTATAAAAAAATACACGCACTTGTTATTCACATGTGAATAAGCGGGTGGAAACAGACGAGGTTAAGGTAATAGCACCCAGGTTGAGTCGTTAAAAAGTCGAGTCTTCTTTGAAATTAACTTGGTATTGGTAATTTGATAATCATTTCATTTTTTTTTCTGACATAAGTAAAGTAAAAGCTTACAGTGCTATTTTCCTGACCTCTGCTGTTCCACTGCAAATGTGTTTGAAGAGAGTATTTTCATTTATGTTACATTCCCATAGAAAACATCCAACGTGTTATTTTTCAACTAATTTCTTATGTGTGTGTTTTGATGTGTGGCACATTTTGTGCTTGGAAATTATTAAAATTTATGCAAAGAACCAGTCCGAAAATACAAAGTACAAACATACACACCCCTACACACACCATGTGCTGTCTGTTTGTCTTTCGCAGCTGCCCATCTTTCGTACTCTCCGGCTCTCTCTTCCTCTCTCTGCCCTGCAAATCGCTCTCCCCAACTTTAGCTCCAACTTCAGCTCCAACTGCAACTCCAACTCTCTCCCACTCTGAATATAAAACTCTCTCCCGGTGAGTTGGAGTTGTTCTTGTTTGAACTTGGCACCTGCGCGTCCTCTCTCTCCATGCAGAAAAAAAGGGCAAAGAAATAACAACAAAAACAGCTGTCAGAAATGTTTATCATCACATGACAAGATGAATGGGAGGGGGAGAGCGAGGGGGCGTTGATATATGAGTGATTGTGGTAATTTTTTTCGTAATCAGAGAGAGAGAGAGAATCTGAGAACAATTATCACTTGTTATGGCATCTCGCGTTCTCTTAGAACCCCAGGTCATTGATTTAATTCGTTTTTGTATGAATCACTTTCGATCAAAACGATGCTGTGGCTGATTTTTATTGACTAATTGTAATCGCTGCCTTATCAGTAGGAATTTCAAAGCAAGTGAATCAGCGAAATATTCTCAGATTAAACCTAAATAAAAGTTACAGTCAAGCTTGGCCAAAAGGTATAGTTTTGATTATACTGAAATAGAACAAATAAGTAAAGTCCAAGCAATCAATGTTAATGCTTGAATATTTTATAGAGATAAAATTATTTTAATATTTTTTAAGATTGTTTATCAAGGTAAAACTGTAATCATTTAACCGGCTTGTACTTTTATCCTACTATTTCTTTTATGACAAACTCGATTTGCATACGAAATGATTAAATACGCCGTTATTTGCTAGGGCTCAAGTGTTGGCATGTGCGCGGGCGGCTCTTGAGCTTTTTTTGTTTGTCCAACGGAGAGAGAGAGAGAGAGAAGAGAGAGGAGTGAGTGTTGATAGCAGTGGGAGAAATGGGAGAGATTTCGTACCGGGATTATTTACATTTTAGCAGGTTATTTGCTCGACTTTTCGTTAACCTGCATCTGTGTGTGTAGCTCAATTTGCATTGGTCTCTTTTTTTTTGCCTTTTGTTGTTCTTTGTTAGCTGATTATAAACAAATAAGGTAACAAAAACTGACAAGATAACGGACTAACAAAAGCAACATTCAAAAGTGTCAAAAGGTAAAGGGGTTAAGTCGCTGCTAAGTCTTTGTTTTGGTTTATTTTGGTTTATCTTTGAAATGGTATTCTTAGCTAAGAATGAATGAATTATTATTTATAAAAATTTATATTTATAAAATAATGTAATTGACTGGTTAATTAAATTTTTGCAATTATTTATCTAAATTTTAATCAATATTTTTCCGCAAAAGAAGATAATTTAATGGATATTTACAATGGAGTTCTTGACCCGGTTAACCAAATCTGGCATTTAAAAGTGTCATATAAGCCTTAAGTCTCTCAATTTGGAACAAGCGCCAACTACCGATGACTCCAATTTTTTCCACTGGGATTTAAAGCCATCTCCTAGGGGGAAAAAAGTAAATAAAATCTGGGGGCAAGGCTAAAATATCTTTGTATCTGACAAGTACCAAAAAAATAACGTCACTATTTTCGAGGGGGGAAACTCCACTTTTCCGTTGTTCGTAGGGCAGAAAAACTTTTATTGGCGCCATTTGGTCTGCCGCACAACACCCATACACACACACAAATACACACTTACAGACACAGAACGTGTGTTGTTAGAACTCCCTTTCCCTATTTTCCCCCCGAAAATCCGATTCCTGCTGTCTCTTTCCGGCATTTCCTTTTCAATGGGATTTTTGGCTTGCCCTCGAATTTCGGGTTTTTGCATTTTGTTTCCATTTGCTCTCCTATATTCCTGTTTCCGATTCGCTTGCAAGGGGCGCAGGGGCGTGGCACCAGCACACACACACACATATGGTGAACAGCAATGGTTCGAGAATTAGGATGCAATTTTTGGAGGATTTAATTTAAACAATTAATAAATTATGCATTAATAAGAATATCTTAAAACATTTACAAAATTTTTTAAAATTTAATTTATTTTTATATTTCATTAAATATTAGTTATTTATTTTAAATTCTTACCCCTTTCCTTTTATCTCTACCCCACCTGTTTGCAAACAAAAATTTCCTCTCTCTGGGCCAACAATTATTTTTCGGGCTTGCTTGCAGAAAGGGGTCGATGGGCAATAAATTGATATTTTATTAAAAATACAAGTGCCATGATTCAGGCTTTGGGAACCGGCTTTATTTGTGCACATCTCCATGTTCATTCAAACATATATAATATATAGCCTCGGCATAAAGTCTGGCAAACAAAAGCAACAAAGTACCGAGCAAGTATTTATGCAAATGGAATTCATCATATTCAAAGTAAGCCCGTTTCAGGTATATATTAATGTATATTGCACATAATTCAGCCAAAGGTCAGGCGGCTTAAAGCCAGGGCTTATGGTCATTCGTTGCACATTGTAGGTATGATACTTTTTTGCTAAAGCTTCTCATTAAATCAGGCTTAGTAAGTGATACTTGAAATTCACTTTTCTGCAGCAGGAAATTTCTGCCATTTTGTCAGCACACTTTTTCAACTTTTTATGGATTAAGTTTGAGGATAGTTTTGGTGGAAAAGAAATCGTGGGAATGCGAATAAGTGGGTTTTATATTATTATTAAATATCAGAAATATAAAATCTACATTGAAATAGCAGTTTCACGGTTAAATGTTATAATTATATGGTTTAATATTCAACTATTAACTTTTAATTATTAAAACCCTAAGTTGAATATATATTGTTTCGTTTGCAATGTTATTTTGTTGTATTCTCTTTATTTATATTTAATTTAACCCATTTAAAAATATTTCTTTTAATGATATTTTTCGCATACTTTTTCTCTTATTTCCCAAGATACCTCAAAAACTTCTATGCCCTTCTCTCTGCGCCTTTCTCAAACACTTCATAAGAACCGCCCTTCTCTGCGCTTCTCATAAATACCACCTAAGGGGGTGGTGGGGCTTGCCACCAAGCCTAGTTTTTCAATCTTCCCAAGCCTCATTTAACCTCATTCGCAAGTTTTTTGGCCGCTAATTCCCCGCAAAAGTCAAAGTTATCCCTGCCAACTTAAGTAGGCAGGAGAAAAACACTCTGCTTATCAGCAGTTTGTCCTTGACTTTTTCTAATCCACTTCTCCGAGTGCTATCAACTATTGTTTGATCAGCAAGTTTTTGCGGCCCTCACCTTAGGGTCTCTTCACCAAGCATTCGACTTAACCCGTTCACAAGTAGTCAGGCCGCAGAAAATCTGCATAATATAAGAGAGGAGGAGGAGGACACCACCACCACCCACCACCCATCACCCACCATCACCATCCTCAGGACATTATCCTTCTGCCTGTGCCTTGGAAACTTGTGCACGTTCTGGCACATTTATCTGCGCTGCGGAATCTTTGCTTAGCTATCAGGGGAAAACCGAAAAGCAAATTTCTCCGCCAGACGTTGCAAAAATATTTGCATACTACATATATGCAAGGATATATTTTAGGCGGGGTAAAACAGAGCCCGGATTATACGCGTAATTAATGCCATCGTAAAGTAGGAAAGGAAAGCATCAAGACAGGGGGAAAGAGACTTCATTAGGGCCTGTCGCCGGCGCTTCATCAGCAGATCTTAAAGTTATGCCTTCGAAATTGCCGGCATAACTTGCTGGTAATAAGTATTCAACTGACAAATAGCTGAAAGCATAAACATCTTGGAGCTATAAATTAATCTTTACACTTTTAGAAATGTGAAAAGTTGGGATTTAAGTTAAAGTTAATAAACTTGGGATTGGAGTTTAACTGGGGTTGGATATATTTGGAAATTTTAAAGTTATGATGTAACTAAAACTAGGGAAAGAAATATTTTTGGTAGGCTGATATTAAAAATAAGCCTTCTTTAAAATTTTATTTTGAAATAAAGTTGTTTTCATTTATTAAAATAAAAATAAGTAGAAAATAACTGAGCTTCCAATGAAGCTTATATATATTTTCAAAATAGAATAACTAACTTTAACGGCCCTATTTTTGTCTTAATTCTATTAAATTATTTACTTGACAACTTATCTATTAACTCAAGTATTCTTTTATTAAATCACCCTTATCTGTAATCGCAGTGTATTCATATTTCTGTTTATCTTTTGGCCATCCCCCCGCCTGGTAGCCATGGCAATAGTAATATAACTTTAGCCAACTGGGCCTTTGCGTGTTATGGCCACTACTACTGCTGCTGCCCTGCTCTTGACTTTTGGTGTGGCAAAAGCAACCCCTCATGTGAAATCCACTACAACTATAGCTGGTTAAGCCCCCCTTTCCCCCCTCTTTTCACCCACAGTTAAACTCCCCCCGTGTACTCCCTAAACTCCAAAGATAAACCCCCATTCTCTACTTGTCGGTTTCAATGTTCGCTTTGATGTTTATCTAATGACTCTGCAGCGAGCTGGCCTGCATGTGTAC